TTGCAGCTGTAAGATGGCTTCAAGAAAAGTGCGGAATCAAGGGAATCCGAATTTCCGTGTACAATTCTAAGGCAAATGGAAGGATAGAAAGACCACATTGGGATGTAGTACAAATGTTAGCCAAATGCTGTGGACCATAGAACCTTGCTAAATGGTATTGGTTCTTTTGGCAAGTTTTGTGGGCAGATAGGATAACAGTAAGGAAGCATTTTGGATGTTCACCGTTTTATATGGTAACAGGAGTGCATCCTCTTATACCTCTTGATGTACAAGAAGCAACATGGCTGGTTAAATTGCCGGATCGTGTATTGACAACAGAAGAATTAATTGGCTATAGAGCAAGAGCTCTAGCCAAGCATGATACGCGTTGCACGGGGATGAACGTGAAAGTGCAAAACACGCAAACAAGGATCAAGTGTGTTGGGGAAAACCCTAAACACCTAATACTCACACACACACACACACACACACACACACACACACACACACACACACACACTATCACAATCTCGGTGCAAGAGTTCGAGGGCCTTTGGTATTAAGAAATACCACTTTTGTCTTCTTAGGTTTAAGTCTCAAGAGTTTTCGTAATAAAACAGGGTTTTATTATTGGGTATGGTATTAGAATAGTTCAATACAACAAAGTATGTCTTTCAGGGAACCTGGTTGCTCAAATGTAAAGTTCTTGAACACAGTTTTCTTTATTGACACGAAACATGGATTTATCGGACTTTTATAACTCCCTTGAGCTTTTTATTATGTCACTATGCTCCAAAACTGGTGATACAAGTACACTGTCTCGTCTAAATGATACTGTGCTTAAAACCTCTTATTCAAGTCTCCAAGTAAGTTGACTCCCAAGCATGCTGGCTTCGTTCACACTGTACTTTTCTGACCACAAAGAAATCCCCTTTAATTGATTATAACTGTCCACCTCCTAAGTCTCTACTTGGAGTATAACTAGCTGGTCAACGGGGGACAATTCCTTTCTTTTGACCTGCCAGTGCGCTCCTTATATACTCCAAAAACCCCTATCTATGCTTTTACATGTGTTTTCTACGGTTATGTATTGGTCCGAAATACAAATAGCTTTTTAATGATCGTGTGGTATAGTTTATAGTGTCTCTCTTGTGGTACACTACAGTTTTTGTAGTGTTGGTATCTTTTCTTTGTCAATCGCATCAGTGTTTGATGCGTACGCGGAACAATCCGGTTTTAATTATATCTAGTCCAGACCGGTTCCGCATGCTTCTTTATCATGGGCTCGGCTACTAATTTGACATATCGTGTCATTTCAGTGATGGGCGTGCTGATGTGTTTGATACGTATGCAGACACACTGCTGGCTTCTTTATTTCCAGAGGTCGTTAATTTAAAATACCTTGGCACAGTTTCTGTTATCATATGGAGATCGGATGGCACTCCAAAGAGCTTCAAATGACTTTCTTAATTATCAGGGGGTCTCCAGGATGGATTACCTAATGTCTTTCCAGGTTTGCGGATCATGTGTCTTGGACGATACAACGCATCACTCTTTGATGCATACGCAGGTATTGCTGTACTTGACGTTTTACATGGCCACAAGCCACGCTTGGTCCTCATATGTATACTACATAGTCGCAGTATAGTCTTTCTAGTAGTAGAACATTATTTCATAATGTCCACATGTAGTTTATCCTCTAGAAGTCTTGGAAGTATTATCACAGGATAAAAGTCCGAGTTTCCATATTAAAATCCATTACATGTTTCTAAACCCTTGGTAGTAATGCAATCTT